GCGGGCAGCGAGCCCGAGGCGGTGCGCGCGCTCGGCGCCCTGCGCCGCGCGTTGGCCGTCCAGAGGACCCGCCCGGGCGGGCCTTCGCCGGCGGCACTCCAACACACTAACACGACGACTCCGAGTTTCTCAATGATCAGGAGGGGAAAAGCACACAGACACAATGGATCGTCGATTCCCCCGAAAACCTGGGAAACTATGGGAAGTGGGAGGGAAGACAGAAACCCAGAAAATATGGGGAATCCTGTTATTGGTGTTTATTTATTTGTGTGTCCCAGGGCCTCTTCAAATAAGCGTCGGGGGGGCGTCACCCCCGCCGACAGCCCCGCATCGGCCCCCGTCGCGGGCAGCCACCTCGCGCCGAAGGCGCTCCGAAGCCCGTCCGTGGCAGCGCGGCGACGAGGCGAGGTTGGCCCCCGTCGGGGGGGTACCCCCCCACGCTTGTTTGAGAAACTCAGAGTGCAGATCGGTCGTTGAACGTAGGTATCTCTGGATTCCCATACTCCAATCTACTTTAAGTGCCGTCCTACGAGTGGCTGCACATTGTCCGTCCTCTTCAGGTGGCGGGCGGACACCCAGTCTACTTTCAACGCCTTCCTGCTTCATGCTTCTACCTACTTGTTTCCGACCGATGGGTAGGAGTGACCCTTCGCCGGAGTGACCTTTGGTGTGGGCCCACAGGGGCCCTCCGATCGCCGAGCGTGGTGCGATGGTAACGCCTTGCGCGCCTGCGTTTGGTCCCCCCGCGGCCTCAAAGAAATTGCGCACGAAGGGCCACTCCTACCCAGGGTCACCTTTGCGTGTAACCGACATAGTAATACTAGGTGCGCGTCGCCCCCCAAGGGCGACGTGCGCACCGAGAAATCTAATACCAGATGCTTGGACCGAGGTAGAAGATCGAGGTCGGCTGGAGAGGGTACCCTGGTGTTCTTCGTGTCTCTTGGATGCTCATGTGCATCCTGGGGGAGGGGGCCCTTGGACGTTCTGTGTGTTTTGGCCAGCGGAGGGTCTCATATTCTTGAAGGCTGCTCTTCTGTCCTAGGTCCAGCCGTGCTAATTCTATGCGTGTGTGTGTGCGTCGCCCCCAGGGGGCGACGCGCGGACCGAGAAATCTTATAGTAGATGCTTCGTGGCGGGCGTTGTCTTGCCATGCCGTTCGGGAAACGATAGATTACAAGATGGTCATACTGATAATATGCTCAGGTCGGACGCACGCCTCCGAGGAGGTCCTGCTGCGTCCCATATCGGTGCGACCATTGGCGGCCCGTTGATATCATTCTCATCCTCCTCCTCGTCCTCCTCGTCCTCCTCCCCCTCCTCCTGGTCCTCCTGGTTCTTATGGCCCTCCTCCTGGTCCTCCTCTTGCGCACGCAAGGCGCCGCGTTTTCCCAGTCCGCGCCCGCTGTCGCGGTGGTCTCCTGGTGGCCATTGGGCCTGGTCCTACTCTTCCTCCTCCTCCTCCTCCTCCACTTCCTCACCTTCGGCCCCCGATCGCGTTTGTATTATATCTGGCATACGCAGTGCGCCTCGACCTGGTGAGGATGGCGAGGGATAGGGCGGTCTTCGTGCGTCAGTATCGGTTCTTATTCAAGCGCTTCCGCGTGGACCGATGCTACTACGCGCTGGTGCTGGTTATTCATACCGTGGCTATGGCACTGGTTCCAGTGGTTTTCGCGGAGTCCCCTGCGATGCAGGGGGGTGCCATGCCTTCCATGCTGATCGTCATATTGGGCGTGGTCTGCTATCTGTTCCAGTGGCGCACGAACGCTACCAACCTAGTCGACTGTTGTCTCCACGCGTTTCCTGATGCTCCTGAGTTTGGGTATCATCCTCTCCCCGATTGAATTTGAGGACGTTGAGATGACCGTGCAGGTGAAAATGATGTTCCGATTCACTGGGATCTTTTGTTTGGGCTTCATCATCCCCGCGCTCCTCATGTACCGGTACGCCAGCAAACAGGTACTGCAGATTTCTGTCCCACCACAAGGGCAGGGCTCAGTTGTGGGCGCGGTGGTTCAAACAGATGTTGTCCGACAGGACGCAAGACGATGTCTTCCTTGACAGCGACAGCCTTGACGAACTCTTTCCTCTCATTCAGACCGTTACCCCCAAAACGAAGAACCTGGTGGTTTTCTTCGCGCAGGAGACGCTGTGCGTGGTGCGCGCGTGCGAGGTCGTCAGCGCGACGCAAAACGTACCAATCTCATCCTTTTGTCTTGAGATGGAGCCGAGGCCCCCGACGACAAGCGCATGGAGCGGCTAGATAAGGCCTTGACTGCGCCGCAGCTCGCCGAGTTCGCGTCGCTAGGCGTGGGGCTAAAGAATCTCACGGCGGCCTTTCTCTTTCTATGCGACGCGAAGACGCTCAGTCTCGCGAATCGCGGCGCTTTGGAGGGCGAGATCGTCGAGCAGGTCATCACGGAGTGCACGCATAGCTCTGACCTCCAGCGCAACGTGCTGGCCAACTGCTTGTGTCTCGGCTGTTCGCCCCCGAAGAGGCCGATGCCGCTGGAGCTGCCGTCCGTCATGGGCGCGGACGGCGGCCCAGAAGAACAAGAGCCGGCGAAGAGACAAGCGGTGGACGCTCACTTTGAGGGCAATGCGAGCGAGATAGATCGGCGTCACCCCAACATACTAATACTATTTGTGCGTCGCCCCCCCCAGGGGCGACGCGCGCACCGAGAAATCTTCTACTGTACGCATCGTGGCGGGCGCTTTTTGGCCACCCCGCTCGGGAAACGATCTGCTACAAGACGGGTATGCTTATATGTTCGGGTCGGACGCGCGCTTCCGAGGAGGATGCATGAGGATGCACGGTACTGGTAGGTCTCTGTGCGTCCCAACAGAGCCGGCGTGCTGTCTGCGGGCAGTGAGGCGCCTGCTGGCGGTGGAGGCCCACCGGGCCACCATTTGGCCGGCCAGCGCAGCACCACCCGGCAGCGCCGGCGGGAGAGAGCGCGCCGAGGCGCGCATGCCAGGCCTCCTTCCGGCGCGGCCTGCTCGGCGATGCCGCCTCTGCGGCTGCCGCGGTGCGCGCGAGGCGCTCGTTTCGACTCCTCCGGTTCGATTCGATTCGAAGTCGACGGCTTGTGATGCCGATTCGATTCGACTTGGGATTCCGATTCGGGCTCCGATGCCTCACTGGAGGCACGCTGGCCTGCCGACATTCGTCAGTTCGACTATTCCCGACTCGGCTGCCGATTTCCGCCGATCCGATATATTTCGATCGCCGATCCGATTTGTCGATTCGATTTTGGGCTCTCCTGGGATACGGAGGTGGTGACGCTGCTGGTGGACGAGGGCTTCCAGTTCCCCAGCCAGGCGTTCTGGGAAAGGACGGAGGCTGGGTGGGCGTGATCTTGGTCCAGGGCCACCCGTTGCTCACCAGCACCAGCACCCAGGACGTGGTGGGCGCTTACAAGGCCCTCTTCTTGGCCATCGCGGTCAAGGTCACCGAGCACGGCTCGGAGGGCACCCAGAGCGCGGAGACCAGCGCGCTTGCGAGACGGCTGAAGACGCAGAGCGCGTGCCGCAGTCTTGCCAGTCTGGCAGAGCGGAGTTCTGCGCCAGCCGCTCACGCAGCGCGAAAGCGAGAGCCTGTGGCAGGCGGCGTGAGGCCAAGCGTTCGGCACCCGTGCCAGCCTGGGCGCCCCAGCTCCGGACATGCCAACGATCCTTCTTTCTGGCGGGCCCCGGAGGCTCCCTTTCCCTGGGCAGCAAAGGGGGCCATGGATATCCGTTGCTTTCCTAGATGCATCTTCTACAGTGGGGGCGCGCACCAAAAAAACATATGTTTTTCGTCCGGAAATCTTGGGCTTCTTCGCGACGGTTGGGTTTCTTGCGACGGTTTCTTGCGGCCGTGCGCCCACTGTACTTGCCAGTCGTGGGGCCGTGGGGAGCTCCCCGTTCTGCCTCCTGCGCTGCTCTGCTCGCTTCCTGTTCCCGCCTCCCTCCTCCTCTCTGCTTGTCGCGGTCCGTTCTGGGGTGGTACTCGGCGGACAAGTGGACTGCATCGCCTGAATATGGCGGGCTCCTGAAGTCGGCCACAGGGCCCTTCCCAGGCCGTAACAGTGCGCCCCGTTCCCTCTCCCTTGTCCTCACCTCTGGTTTGTCAGATCTCTGCGAACTCCTGGATCTTGGGTGTCTGGTTTTCGCACGTCCTCCGCAGCCTGGTAGCTGCTCGTCGCAGCTGGTACTGCTCGCCAAGATTCTCCACGGCTGCGGGCCCCGTTGTGGGAGGTTTTTCGGATCTCCGCCACGGTTGGCACAGTATCGAGCCTTCAGCCCGGCACGTGACCTGGTGTGATAGACTTCGAGAATTGGAGCACATACCTTACCAATGGCGGGCTGTTTTTCAATCCCAGGACTTCTGGAGGGTCGGGGACAACGTCAAAATGGTGTGGTGTATACTTGCTTCCCCGTTTTCCTGTCGAAACAATGAAAATGTATACTCCAGGATCCCGTATAAACCAGGATCCGCTTTCCTGTGCAAGTATGAGTGCAGGGCCGAAACAAGCGTCGGAGTATAGAGTTGTTTTCCCTAAGGCTGGACGTTTGGCCGACCGAATCGAGCTGCGCGCCCGCCAACAAAAAGGACGCGGAGCCCAGCCACAGGCCAATCTAGTCCCTCGTTCCCCCCTTCCCCCCAGGAGGCCGCCGACCACGGAGGCCATCAATGCGGGCATTCTCGACGTGCTGAACGAGCACATCGTCAGCACGTCAGCTGCGGCTCAGGAGATTTTACCTGGTGTTCCGCGCTCGTCACTCGTTGCCCGCATTGTTCTCATATTGTATCCGGTGTTCAGCGCTCGTCACTCGTTGCCCGCACTGTTCTCTTGGGCACGCCTCGTGGTGGACACGTCAGTCGAAGACGAAAAAGCACCCACATAGAAGCCGCTGGAGCTCCGTGTGGATTCCTTGGATCGGCGCCAGGCTCCCCCTGCTCGGCGCGCGGAGCGCGCCGTGGGGCGGCGCCGTGGGGCGAGGCCAGGGGGCCCGGCGGCGTTCCAAGAGATCCGCGCAGAGCTCCGAACGTTTGTATGCTTGTGCCGTTGGTTCGCTCGTCCAGTCAGGGAGGAGGGGGGCAGGACGACGAGGCTGAGGGAGGCCTTGCGTCTGGTGGCAATCCCCGGGCCTTTCCCGCCGCCCCCCCCCCCCCGAACGGGGACTCGAGGAGAGCCCCGCGGCGCGGGCCGGGACGTCTATGCCATCGGGGCCGTGTGCTCAGCATCACTCGGACGTGTGCACCGTGCTCTCTTGGCGGAGACCCTCGAGAAGCAAGGGCGCCCTCGAGGGCGCGAAGTTATTCGCGCTTCGCGGTTCGGCTCCGATTCCTCATCCTTCTCTTCTCCCCTGGGAGGCGGCCTGAGAGCGCGAAGTGATTCGCATTTCGCGCTTCGCGCAGCGCGAAGCGCGAAGTTGGGAGCCCTTGGAGAAGCAGCTTGGACCACCCCGTGAAAAGAGCAGCGCACGATATCGAAAACTCACGGGGATTGGGCGTCCGAGCGAGGGCCAGCTAATTATCCCTCGTGCCGCCGCCCCGGTTTGCCCGGCGACCTTCTGTCTGCATTGTGGTGCGGGCCGCACCGTGGTGAGGTCGTTTTTTTTTATGCCGGGGGCCGCACCACGGCACGCGCCTGGCCGGCTTCGGAAGACCAGCTTCGAGCAGCCTGCCAGGAGGTAGTCGTTGTCCGAGTCATTGTTCTGCCGATCGGCGCGGGGGCCTCGCTCCGCTCCCCCCTCCCCCCCCCCCCGTGGAGTAGATCTTGGCTCTTTTCTGTCGCCTGCTCCGAGCAGGCGGGGTCGCCCCCATCGGACGCACTGCTGCAAACTGTCGCGTTGGGCAGGGGCCCCGAGCCAGACCCCCCCCCCTCTCCCCCGAGAGAAGGCTGCTCCCTGGTGAAAGGGTTGGTTCCCCCGTGAAAAGGATGGCTCCCCCGTGGAACTTGGAAACAGCTCCCCGGTGAAACTTCCCCAGTATAGGAAGCTCTATACTTGCTCCTAAGAGGCCCCTGCGAGGCTCCTGGGACCTCCTCTGCGAGGCTCCTCTGGGACCTCCTCTGCGAGGCTCCGAAGAAGCCTCTGCGAGGCTCCTGGGACCTCCTCTGCGAGTTTCCTGGGACCTCCTCTGCGAAGTTCCAGGCTCCAAAGAAGCCTATGCGAAGCTCTTGGGACCTCCTCTGCGAGGCTCCTAAGAAGCCTCTGCGAGGTTCCTGGGACCTCCACTGCGAGTCTCTTCAGAAGCCCGCGAGGCTCCTGAGAAGCCTCTGCGAGGCTCCTGGAACCTCCTCTGCGAGGCTCCTGGGACTTCCTCTGTGGGGACCTCCTCTGCGAGGCTCCAGAGACCTCCTCTGATAGGCTCCTGGGACCTTCTCTGCAAGGCTCCTCGGACCTCCTCTGCGAGGCTCCTGCGACCTCCTCTGCGAGGCTTCTGTGACCTCTTCTGCGAGGCTCCTGGGAACCTCGATCAGCGACCCTGGATAGAGCGGCGATCCTCGGCGAGGACGGCGTCCGCGCGCGCGGGAGCGCGCGCCCGGGATCGGCGGAGGCGGTGGAACGAGGAGAAAACCGCAACTCGCCGACGAGAATTTCCATGAAGCGACGACGCTGACGACGCCGAGGTCGGCGACGCCGAAGCTGACGACGCCGAGGACGCCGGCGACGAGGTCGCTGACGACGACGATCACGACGACGGCGACGCCGACGACGACGACGCAGCCGACGCGCCGACGACGACGACGACGACGACGACGACGACGACGACGACGACGACGACGACGTACGACGACGACGACGACGACGACGACGACGACGACGACGACGACGCGGAACGACGACGCGGACCTCCAGGCAGAGGCGGCCTGGGTGCTGACGAACTTGTGCTCGGGCCCCTCGGTCGAGGTGCTGGCGGTCCTGGAGGCTGGGCTCGCCGAGTCCGTCCGCCAGGCCGCCCCGTCTTCTGCTTCGGCGGCTCGCAGAGGGCGGAGGCAGCCCAGGAGGCGGGGGCAGCACAGTGAGACCGAGGTATTGGCCCAGCACTGCGAGATGATGAAACTTTGGACTTTTTACCTGGAATTCGTCTTCGTTTTCTGTAACTGTCAATTGTCGCGCGGCCACTCGTTTTCGTGGCTTGCATCTTCATCTCGCCAGAGCCGTTCGTTTTCGCATTCGTTTTCTCAGCGTTGCTGCAGCCCGTGCCATTCGATTTCCAAATTGAATACGAAAGCACTGCCACTCGCCCCTTCGAATGACGAGAAGCGCAAGAGCGTCATCGCTTTACTGACTTCCGATTGGAATTCCCGAGGGTCTTAATGTGATGTTTCTGTTTTTTGGAATTGATGTTCGCGTTAGTTTATTGTGTAAGTTCGTTTTGGTGTACATGTAATTTGATGTGATTTCGTTGCAATTTCGTTTTCTAAAGCTCGTGTTCATGTCGTCTTACGTTCGCAGTAATGTCCCTTGGATTTCGATTTGGTAGTGTGTGCATATATCGCTTCAATGTTGTGCTAAAGGAATCGTGCGTTTGCTGTTTAATGTTATGATGCGTTCGTCTTATGTTCATTGTCATTTCGCGTTGAGTTCGCTGTTTCATTGTGTTGCCTTTCCGTTGTAATCCTTAATTAAATCAGTCCATGCTCGTCTTTAAGTTCGTTTTATGCTCGTTCAGAAGTCGTTTCGTGTTGTTTTACCTTTGTTCTACGCTCGTTGAAAGTCCGTGTTGCAAGTATATGAACTTCGTTTCAGTGTCGTTTCAAGGTTGTCTGATTTTCGTTTAATGTCGTAGTATGAGATCGAGGTCGATTCCAGGAGGGTGCCCCAGTGTTCTTCGTGTTTGTTTGATTTTCTTGTGCATCCTGGGGAGGGTACCCTTCGATGTTCTGTGTGTTTTGGCCAGCGGAGGGTCTCGTGTTCTTGAGGGATGTTATTCTGGCCTAGGTCCGATTGTAGGGGAACAAACGATGACATAAGCAAACACACTCAGAGGTCTTCGCGGATTCCTCGGATCGGCGTTGGAGCCTCTTGGCGGCGCCTCTGGCGCCACCCCTGGCGCGCTCCGTGCGCTAGGGAGGGGGTCTAGCGCCGATCCGAGAAATCCGCGCGGACCTCCGAATGTTTCTGTTTACGTCGTTTTTGCTCCCCCAGGTAGAGGACGAACCCAGCTGGAGGATTCTGTCTTCTTCTTCAGGGGCCGTGGGCAGCGATCTTCTTCTGAGGTGCCCTCAAGCTGTGCCCCTCCTCTGTGGCCTCCTGGCTTTTGCCTCCAGCCTACCGCCAGCTTGCGCTGCACCTTCTGGGAGCAGGGGCGTCGCCTGCTCGGCGCAGGTTCGACGCGGGTTCGACGTTTATTTCGACGTGAACAGTGATATGACGAGACAGACAATCTAGGCCTCCTAGATGGTCGGGGCAGATGGGGTCGGAGGATCGCGCCGCATCGCCGATGCATCGCCGATGCGGCTCGATGTGGACCCCGATTTGCTTCACGTAGACATCACCGATGTATCGCCGACGTCGACGATGCCTCGCGAGTGCATCGGCGATGCGGCGCAATCCTCCGACCCCATCGACTCGGACCCCATCTAGGAGGCCTCTAGACAAGGCCCCCCGGCAGCATAAGCCAGCCTCGCTGCTCTTCATCGTCCTCGTCGTCGCGGATTCATGTTTCGCTGATCGAGGATATGGGATTCAGGATGCTTTTGGGCCTCAGGGAGACTCCTCGTGACCGCATCCGGATCTTCCTCCAGGACATGTCCATTGGATGATTATCATCAGTGCTTGCACTGAAGGGGTCCTAGCGGGTATATGTTTACATGTAGATATGTGTATATATACATACATAGAGCTATGCATACATACATACATAGATACGTGCATACACACATACAGATATCCATGCATATACACATGTATGTATACCAACATACATACAAACACACATACTTGTATGCATGCATACATGCGTACGTACGCACGTACGTACACATATATATATATATATATATATATCAGCCAGCGTTGACTCCAAATAGATTAGACAAGCAAGCGTGCAAGAAAGCGCGAAAGCAAGCAAGCAAGCAAGCGCGCAAGCAATCAAGCGTGCAAGCAAACAAGCAAGCAAGCAGGCATAGGCGTAGGCATAGGAGTTAGGGGGAGGCATAGGCATAGGCATAGCCATAGGAATTAGGGGGGGCATAGGAATTAGGGGGGGGGGCAACGGACCAATTAGTAGGATTTGAGCTAGGGTTCGTACAGGACAAACCCATCCGGATAACAGACATACAAACGTGTGACGGCCCTACGAGGCCCCCGAGAGAGCCCCAAGAAGTCCTTATGAGGCCTCCAGGTGGGCCCAAGAGCGCACACTTCTGCCAATGCGTTCTCACTCTCTCTCTCTCTCTCTTTCTTTCTCTCTCTCTCTCTGTTTCTCTATATATATGTATAAGTTCTCTCTTCTTCTATCCGTGTGCCACTCAAATCATTTTGTGCGCTGATTTGTTTCTTGTGTTTACGCTCACTATATGTTCGCTCTCATTCTCTGCCTTCGTTGTCGACCTCTACCTCCGCGGTGTTCCATGAAACTTCTCGTTCGCCCGTTCCTTCCTCTGGAACTTCTCCTCGTTCCTCCCGTCGTCTCCTTCCGTTCCGCTAGGTCATCCTTCCTTCTTACCTGCCCGCCCACTCCCCGGTCCGTGTACAGGCACCGCCAGTAAAGTTTGATGCTTCGTCGAGTGCTGGCTTTTTTCAAGCTTGAGAAAAAATACCCCTGTCCTCTCCGGAATGTCCACTACGGGCACCAAGGTTACCAGCACGTTGGCCAGAGCGATCGTCATGATCCCATAGTTCTTCCGAACATTTGGGGGCCTCGTGAGGGCCTCTTGGGGCTTCTTGGGGCGGAAGGCTCGGATTTTCGGTGGGCACCCCCTTGGGGCCGTCTTGGGGCCCGGGGCCGGCGCTTCTTTGGGCCGTCTTAGGGCCCTCTTGGGGTCCTTTAGGGCCGTCTAGGGGGGTCTTGAGGGCCCCATGGGGCGTCGTAGAGCGTCAGAAGCTCGAAAAGTAGAGAACCCCAAACACGAGGAAAACTAGAGCATGATTCTTCACGCTTGCATATCCCCACCAGCCCGCTCAAAAATCCAGCCAACGAGAGCTGACGGGACACGGGACGAAGAGGCACGCATAGTGAAACAGAATTCGGTGGATCCATGGAGAATGAGGACGAGGGGAGGAGGAGGAGGAGGAGGAGGAGGAGCAGGAGCAGGAGGAGGAGGCAAACCGCCTCTTGGGGCCCTCGTGGGACGCTCTTGGGGCGCTCTTGGGCGCCCTTGGGGCCGTCCTGGGGCCCTCTTTGGGCCCTCTTGGGGCCTTCGGATGAGGAGGAAGAGGAACACGACGACGACGACCACGACGACGAGAAAGAGGAAGAAAAGAAAGACCATGAGGGCAAGGACGAGGAGCGGCCGTCGGTGGAGCTCCCTATTGGGCCACAGTGCTTGTGGGGGGTTTACTGAGATGGCGGGGGGGCGCAGGCGGACCCTGCCACTGAGGCCCTCGGTGGAGCTCCCTATGGGGCGACGATCCTGCTGAGCGGTGTGCCGAAATGGGCGGGTGGGCGCTTGCGGACTCTGCCACTGAGGTCTTCGGTGGAGCTACCTATAACGCCACGATTTGCATGAAGGGTGTGCCGGAATTGGCGGGTGGACGCATGCGGACCTTGTCCCTGGCGCCGTCGGCGGAGCTCCCTATGGGGCCACGGTCCTTGTGAGGGGTGTGCCGAAATAGGCGGGGGGACGCATGCGGACCCTGCCACTGATGTCTTCGGCGGAGCTTCCTATGGTGCCACGAAGCATTTGAGGGGTGTGCCGAAATAGACGGGGGGGACCCGTGCGGACCCTGCCACTGGGGCCTTCGGTGGAACTCCCTATGGGGCCAGGAAGCGCGTGTGGGGTGTGCCATCAGGGGCGGGGGGACGCATGCGGACCTTGCCACTGGGGCCTTCGGTAGAGCTCCCTATGGGGCCACGATCCTTGTGAGGGGTGTGCCGGCAAGAGCATGCAGAGGGCAGAGGCAGGGACGGGAGAATGAAGGGAGGAGGAGGGCGGCGGGATGTAAGTCGTTGGGCGCTGTCTTTTCAAAACGAGGACCCAGCACCGCAGGATGATTGGTCCCAGTTCTCAAGCGCAGCACCCCGAGGAGAGATGAACAACATCTACCTTGGCGAAGGACCCAACTATATGCAGCTGCAAGTGCCCCGAGGCAGGTGAGAAGCAGGAGGAGTGCCCAGCAGAAGGACTTCGGCGCGGAGGAGGAGGATGAGGAGGAGGAGGAGGAGGAGGACCAGTGTAAACCCAAGTCTCATCAACGATGTTGCGATCAACCCTCCCTCCAAGTTCCCTGTTCATGAGCGAGCCCCGTTGGACGACAGCCGTCTGAAAATCTTCAGCCGCGCCAAAGCACTATTCCTTGGCCTTCCACGCCGCGAACAAACGTTGCTGGTGCGATCCGACGATCCCAAATCGGGCCAGAGCACCATTTCTGGAACGTCAGCACTGCTAACCAGCGTGATTGTCGCGCCTTGACAGTCCTACATCGTGCCAAAACGCAATTTCTGGAACGTCCGCCGTAAGAGTTTTCGAATGCTCGAAACTGCTGTCAACTGTTAAGACGAATGTGCGCGGCGCTCACGCGATAACAACATGTTGGAAAGAGCTGCCTTCCATCCGCGAAACTCTGGCAAACTTTTAAGACGAATGAGCGCGGCGCTAGGGCGAGAGCGCATGTTGAAAAGGGCCCGTCCTTCATGTGTGAAATTCGGACAAATTTCAAGCTTCATGATCAGAAATGGTGAGGGAGTCCCAAGCGAAACGCTGGGCCCACCCTACCGAAACGCCTCGGGGTGCGACAGGGGGGAGTTATTTATAAGGAAGCGGAATTCAAAGCGAATCAGGGCACGCGGGGACAGGGGCAACGAGCAATCGGGCGCTCGGGGGGGCCCTTTTCTTTCAGGCGCCCGCAAGAGGCACGCCCGTCGCCCGCAAAAGGGGCGGAACGCAGCGGAGTCCCCGCGACGCGCGCTGGTCGCCCCGAAAGAACTCCAACGACGCTCGCGGGTCGTCAGTGGCATGGGGTCGAAAAGTTGGCATTGTGGCTTAGGTGATGCTCCCTACGGGGCAACGAAGCGTGTGAGGGGTGTGCCGGAAAGGTCGGGGGGGGAGCATGTGGACACTGCCAGCGGGGCCTTCGATGGAGCTCCCTATGGAGCCACGAAGGGTGTGAGAGGCGTGCGGGCTTCGGCGGGCCTCTGGGGCAGCAGGCACGTGAAGAGAAAGGATGACGATGTTGACGGGCTTGCGCGGGCCACGTGATTGTGCTAACCATATTGCCTGATGTGCCACGGATGCCATCCGTAACAGGTTACATGCGGATGTAACCCGTTTGCTACGGTTGGCGATTGGGGCCGTTGAGGCCGTGGGGCGCTGCGGCCTTGGGTGGAACTCTTTGCGGGGCCGCGAAGCGTGTGAGAAGTGAGCCGGGATGGGCGGGGGGACACGTGTGGACGCCGCCATCGGAGCGGGCCTTGGGTAGAGCTCCCCATGGGGCCACGAAGCGCGTGAGGAGTGCCCCGACATGGGCGGGGGGGTCGCATGCGGACTGTGCCACTGGGGCCCTGCGTGGAGCTCCCCATGGGGCCGTGAAACGTGTGAGGGGTGTGCCGAAATGAGCGGGGGGTCGCATGCTGACTGTGCCACTGGGGCCTTCGGTGGATCTCCTTGTGGGGTCACGCCACGTATGACGGGTGTGCCGAAATGAGCGGGGCGACGCGTGCGATTGTGCCACTGGGTACTGGGGCTTCTCGTTTGTGGGGCCACGAAGCTTGTGGGGGTTGTGCCGAAGTGGGCGGGGCGACGCACGCGAACTGTGGCATTGGTGCCATGGGTGAAACTCCGCATGGGGCCACGAAGCGTGTGAGCAAGCAAGCCACTCACACGGCTGCATGTAAGTCAGTCCCTGGGCACCGAGATCCAAAGCGATCTGTGAGGGTTCGGGTGCTCCTGGTTTCCGAGTGCGCTTCTTGTTGGTAGACCTTCTCCGCCCTGGCGTTGCGCGCAGGGCCAAAACGTGTGAGGACCGTGCCGAAATAGGCGGGGGGACGCATGCGGACTCTACCACTGGGACCTTGGGTGGAGCTCCTCGCGGGCCACAGAGCATGTGTGGGTGTGCCGACGTGAGCATGCGGATGGTAGCATCAGCAGGAGGAGGGCGGAGGGGAAGAGGAGGGGAGAAGGAGGAGGAGGAGGAGGAGAGGAGGAGGAGGGGAGGAGGAGGAGGAGGAGGAGGAGGAGGAGGGAGGAACGCGGGGAGCTGCTGATTGAAGAGGACCCAACACCACAATCCGCCTGCGAGAGGACGGCAGGCTCGCGCCGAGTCGACACGGCGGCGGCCCCGGGCGCGGGCGCTCGAGGCGGAACGCCGCCAGCTGCCAGGCACCGGCCGACATCGAACGATCCGCGCACTACGTACCTGAAAGCCCCGATCCCTCAATGCCTGGCGATCCGCGCGGCGCCGTGCGGTGCCAGAGGCCAGCGCGAGGGTCGTAACGACACGAGCTCGTCGCGCTTCGCGCTCCGGCGCGCGGACCGCCCGGCCAGGCTCCGCACACGTCCTCGTCCCCCCGGCAGGGTGCGGCTGCTGTGGGGACGTCGAAGGAAGGGGGGCGGCGAGGGAGGGGGGGAAGCGAGAAGGGGCGGGCCTTCTCAGAAGGCTCGGCAGTCCCCCGGCCTTCTGAGAAGTGTGCTGAGCCTTCCCCGAAGACCGACGAAAGCTCAGAAGGCGCGAGGGCTTCTGAGAAGTCCCGCCGCCTTCCGAGAAGGCCTTCTCCTTCTCATTTCCCCCCTCGCTCGCCGCCGATGAGGACCATCTGGGGTTCAGTGAGGGCTTTGGCTATTTCGTGCCGCTCCTTGCTGTAAGTCTAGGTCGGGGCACCTATTCGTGGCCCCGGGCTCGCCGCGGCCAGGGAAGCCCCTTCGTTCCTCACGTTGCGTTCTACCTGGCAGCACGACGACTGCACCTAGGCCTCCTAGATGGGGTCGCAGCAGATGGGGTCGGAGGATCGCGCCGCATCGCCGATCCATCGGCGATGCATCGGCTATGCGGCTCGACGTGGAGCCCGGTTTTCTCCACGCCGACGTCGCCGATGGAAGGACCATCTGAGGTTCAGCAAGGGCCATCTGGGGTTCAGCAAGGGCTCTGAGTATTTCGTTCGGCTCCGCACTGTAAATTCAGGTCGAGGCACATATTCCTTGCCTGGGCTTGCTGCGGCCAGGAAAGCACTCCTTCGTCCCTCGTGCTGCGCTCTACCTGGCAGCACGACGACTGCAGGGCTCTGCGAATTGCACGGCGCGATGGGAGGACGAAGAGGGAGAGAAAGAGAGAGAGAGAGAGGCTCTCATTAAGGGAGGAAAAACCACCCGGACCCGATGACTGGCGTTGACTAGACGGCTCTGGGCGTTTACTAAGCAGCCCTGCCCTGTTCGATTCCTTCTGTGGGCGCGTTTACTAAACGGCTTCGCGTGTCGGAGTAATCGTTATGGGGGTGGATTTTTCCTGCCCTCTGTCTCAGGCCCTGCTGACCGAGGACGGCTCGCTGACGGCGAGCGCGGCGCGGAGGCCATCCGCATGCCGCAAGCGCCGCATCAGCATCCGCGCGTGTGCGGCAGATGCTCCCGCTTACGGCAGGCTCGTGCGGCGTTGGCGCCCCGGCGCGACGCCAGCGAAGGCGCTCAGGCTCGAGTTCTGCGACGCGAAGCCACCGACGGAAACAGCAATGCCATTAGACGCGACGGAATTCATCCTTGAGCGATCCGAGAGCATGTTCTCTAGGTGGAGGGCAAAGGGTGAAATCTGGAATGCCGTTTCGATGGATTCTCGAGGCTTGAATCTGCCAGAGGTGAATCGCAGGACCGATTGACTGTCGAGGTGCAAAAGCCCATAGGGATTCCACCCTGAGCCCTTCACCCTAAAATTATCCTGGCGAAGGACCCAACCATATGCAGTTGTGGGTACCGCAATTGTGAATATCTTCTTCGGTGAAGCTCCCTATGGTGCCACGGAGCGCTGCGCTGGATGGGGGGGAACGCATGCGGGCGGTAGCACTGGGGGCTTCAGTGGAGCTCCCGATGGGGCCACGAAACGCTGTACTGGGTGGGTGAAAATGCCAATTGGCTTCCGGGACGCACGCGGACGGTCCCATTGGGGGCTTCGGTGGAGCTTCCTATGGGGCCACGAAATGCAGTACTGGGTGGGTGAACACGCCAAATTGGGCTTCCGGGACACATGCGGACGGTCCCACTGGGGGCTTCGGTGGAGCTCCCTATGGGGCCACGAAACGCTGCAATGGGCGAAAATGCCAAATTGGGTTTCCAGGACGCATGCGGACGGCCCCACTGGGGGCTTCGGTGGAGCTCCTAATGGGGCCACGAAACGTTGTACTGGGTGGGTGAAAATGCCAAATTGGGCTTCCTGGGCGCATGCGGACGGTCCCACTAGGGGCTTCGGTGGAGCTTCCTATGGGGCCACGGGCCACGAAACGTTGTATTGTGTGGGCTTCCGGGACGCATGCGGACCGTTCCACTGGGGGCTTCGGTGGAGCTCCCTACTGGGGCCACAAAACGATGTATTGGGTGGGCGAACATGTCAAATTGCGCATGCTGGACGCATGCGGACGGTCTCACTGGGGGTTTCGGTGGAGCTTCCTATGGGGCCACGAAACGTTGTATTGGGTGGGCGAAAATACCAAATTGGGTTTCCGGGACGCATGTGGACGGTCCCACTGACCACGAAACGCCGTGTTGGGTGTGGCGGACGCATGTGGCCACCCCCATTGGGGCCTCCGATAGAGCTCCCTATGGGGCCACGAAACGCTGCACTCGGCGCGGCAGACGCATGTGGCCACCCCCTGAGGGCCTGGTGGGGCCTTGTGTGGAGCCCCCCTTGGGGCCACGAAGCGCTGTACTGGGTGTGGCGGACGCATGTGGCCACCCCCACTGGGGCTTTCTGTGGAGCTCACTATGGGGCCACGAAACGCTGTATTGGGTGTGGCGGACGCATGTGGCCACCCCCACCTAGGGCGTTCGGTGGAGCTCCCTGTGGGGCCACGAAACAACGTACTGGGCGTGGCGGACGCATGTAGCACCCCCGCTTGGGCCTTGTGTGGAGCTCCCTATGGGGCCACAAAACGCCGTACTGGGTGTGGCGGACGCATGTGGCCACACCCCCGCTTGGGCCTTGTGTGGAGCTCCCTATGGGGCCACGAAACGTTGCACTGGGTGTGGCGGACGCATGCGACCACCCCCGCTGGGCCCTTAATAAGGTGGAGTTCCTTATGGGGCCACGAAAGCCGTACTGGGTGTGGCGGACGCATGTGGCCACACCCCCACTGGGGCCTTGTGTGGAGCTCCCTATGGGGCCACGAAACGCTGTACTGGGTGGGTGAAACGCATGGAGGAGGGAGGAGAGGGGAGGGGGAGGAGGGAGGAGGGGGAGGAGAGGAGGAGAGGAGAGAAGGGACGCGGGGACCGTCTTTTCAAAACGAGGACCCAACAACACAGGATGGCTGGGAAAAATGCTCAGGCGATCGGCGCCGCGATCGATTCGAGGTTGAACGATCGGCGCGGTGTCAAAGACCGCTGCGCGCGCCGCCGCCGCACGAGCCGAACGTACGAGCCGGTGCCTGCACCCATCCGCCGTGCCGCTGGCCTTCTCTCTCTCTCCCAGTTCGCTTGCCAGCACGCCGAGTGCCTTCGTCTATCCATCTCTTGATGTGCGGCTGTCCCGTTTTGTCTCGCCCCGCGCCCGCCCCTCTCCTCATCCTTTTGCCTCGGACGGCACGCTCCAGCCACGTGCAAGATGTGTTCCAGTCTGCGGTGTGCAGTCCAGGCGTCGAGATGGGAAAACGGGAAACGTTTGGGTTCGGACGGGCGTCGCTGCTCTCTAGGTCTTTCCATGGTCGTGCTTCCAGCTGTCCACATGCACACAGGCGCTTTCGGACCAAAGAGGGGCTTCCATCCTTATGCAGCCTAGCAGCTTGGCTGTATGCAGGATTGGTGAGGCACTCCCTGCCCAGAGCACCCTCGACCAGATGTTTTCGGTAACGGATTCCCGTCGCGCCATGCTTCGGGCGTGATCAGAAGGGGTTCGAATCTCGGTGACGCAGAGACGGCGCGTGTCGAGGTCCAGGCGAGGGCTTCGAAGACGTCGACGGCTCCCTCGTTGCCAGAATTTGTGACCAGAGGCCGAAGATCGGTCGCGACCGATTCGTTCAGAGCGTTGTTGGACAACGCCCCAGCAAGGCCCTAACAAAGCTCAAGCGACGCTCCAATGAAGCCCTAACAAAGTTCAGACAAAGGTCACACAAAGCTCAAACAAAGCTCCAGCAAAGCTCAAACAAAGCTTCAACAGAGCCCCAACAAGGCCCAAACATAGCTCAGACAAAGCACCAACAATGTTCAAACAAAGCTCAAACACATTGCCAATAAAGTTCACACAGAGCTCAAGCAAAGCTCCAGCAACGCTCAAACAAAGCTCCAACAAAGCTCCAACACAGCTCTAGCAAAGCTCCAACCAAATTCAAACAAAGCTCAAACCCATCGCCAATCAAGCTCACACAAAGCTCAAACAAATTTCTAGCAACGCTTAAAAAGATTAGCCTGGCGAAAAACCCGACCATCTGCAGTTGTGAATAACGCAATTGTGAGTATCGTCTTCGGTGGAGCTCCAGATGGGGCCACGAAACGTGTGAGGGACGTACCGAGATGGGCGCTGTGGGAGCATGCGAACGCGTGTGAGGGGAGTGCCGCAATGGGTGTGGCGGCGACATGCGAACGCAGCCACTGGCGCCTTCGGCGGAGCTCACTATGGGGCCACGAAGCGTGTAAGGGGTGTGCCGAAGTGGGCGCGGTGGTGGCATGCGAGCGCAGCCACTGGGGCCTTCGGTGGAGCTCCCTATGGGGCGACGAAGCGTGTGAGAGGCGTGCCCAGATGGGTGCGGCGCCGCCATGTGGACCCTACCACTGTGGCCTTCGGTGGAGCTCCCTTTGGGGCCACGAGTCGTGTGAGGGGTGTTCTACAATGAGTGCGGTGTCGACGTGCGAGCGCAGCCATTGGGGCCTTCGGTGGAGCTCCTTGTGGGGCCACGAAGCGTATGAGGGTGTGCTGAGATGGGTGCGGCGGCGCCATGAGAGCGCAGCCGCTAGGGCCTTCGATGGAGCTCCCTGCGGGGCATCGAAACGTGTGAGGGGTGTGCCGAAATTGGTGCTGTGGCGCCGTGCGAGCGCAGCCACTGGGGCCTTCGGTGAAGCTCCCTGTGGGGCCACGAAACGTATGAGGGGTGTGCCGAAATGGGTGCGGTGGCGCCCTGCGAGCGCAGACGCTGGGGCGTTCGGTAGAGCTCCCTATGGGCCACGAGTCGTGTGAGAGGTGTTCCGACATGGGCGCGGTGGCGACGTGCGAGCGCAGCCGTTGGGGCCTTCGATGGTGCTCCCTATGGGGCCACGAAACGTATGAGGGGTGTGCCGCAATGGGTGCGGTGGCGCCATGCGAGCGCAGCCATTGGGGCCTTCGATGGTGCTCCCTATGGAGCCACGCAACGTGTGAGGGATGTTCCGAAATGGGTGCGGTGGCACCATACGAGCGCAACCGCTGGGGCCTTCGGTGGAGCTCCGTACGGGGCCACGAAACGTGTGAAGGGTGTGCCGACATGGGCGCGGTGGCGCCATGCGAGCGCAGACACTGGGGCCTTGTGGAGCTCCCTGTGGGGGGCCACGAAACGTGCGAGGATTGTGCCGACATGGTGGACATGCAGAAAGAGAGAGAGGCAGGGATGGGAGGAGGGAGGAGGGGGATGAGGAGAGGGGGGCGGATGAGGAGGAGGAGGAGGATGAGGAGGAGGGGGAGGAGGAGAGGAGGCAGGAAGGATCGCGGGCTCTTCGAAACGAGGACCCAACACCACAGGACGGTGCAGAACACAGCTCAAGGGTCGTTGGGCGTGGGAGCCCTGGCCCCGGTGACAGCCCCAGCCCCGCCAGCCCTGGCCCTGGCCCTGGCAACGCGCCCAGTCCCGGCCCCGACCCCGGCCGAAGCCCCGGCCCAGGCCTTAGCCCCGGCCCAGGCCCAGGCCCCCAGCCCCAGCTCCAGCCCAGGCCTCGGCTGAACCCGGCTGGCTCCGGCCCCGGCCCCGGCGGCCCTGGCCCAACCTCCACCCCCCCCGTTTCCCCCCACCCCATTGGAGCCGCCCCCTCTCCACTCGATCCCCTGGTTCGAACCGACGGGGGAGGATTCTGCGGAGAATTTGACCCCCCCCCCAGGTTTCCAGAAGGGGGGGAGGCGGGGGACCTTTTCCTCGTCAAGCGACGGCAGATCGCGCTCCCTCTAAAATCAAGATTTCGGATCTCTGGGAAGCGAGAAACAACTCTACCCGCATAATCGGCGTTTGCTAGACAGCCCCGGGCGTTTACGAAGCAGCCCGCCCTGTTCGATCCCTTCCTTCGGTGCGTTTGCACGCGTTTGCTCATTTGCCAGGGTACTTATCATGAGATTTGTTTCTCTACCCTCTACAGTCAACCCGTGCATTAAGGATCGGCAACATTCCGAAGGATATGTTTGCATCCTTGCCCCTTCGGCCCACCTTTATCAGGAGCGAAAGAAGGACGTACACGTACATGATTTCACGCTGATTTCGAGAGTACACGTTGCGCGAATGTTCGTATCACGCGGCCTGTCTCGCGGACCGAGGGGCCGTGTTCATGTACATAGCTGGGCGCGTATGTCCTTTGTGGGCTCCCTACTTTAGCGACCTTCGCTGGCCAGCCTCGTTCGAAAAACGTTCGCATGGGCCTCCAAGGCCCTTGCATCTTTACCTAAGCTGCCTCGATACGCCCGTTTTGAGACGCAACACGTGTCGTGCTTAAAACGTCCGTGCCAATACGTTGCGTGCTGGCTCAGCGTATCGGCCCACGTGTTGGCGAGCGCATCGCGTCAGACCTGAGCGTGTTCAGTCTCCGTGCTGAGCTCCGTAACAGCATACGCCACGTGCCGCGTGCTGCATATCGGGGCAGCCAAGATCCTCACCGCGCGTCCTCACGATGCGGGTCGGCTGTAAGCTCGCGCTGTCCGCTGCGCCTCGGCCCCCCCTCGCTTCGCCCGCGCGCGGGGCCGCCGCGGGCAGGCGGGGAGCGCGGCGGGCACCCTGGGAGGGGAGGGCGAGAGGACACCGGGGGGGGCACGAGGAGAGGATGCCATCGGGGGGGACATCGGGGGGGCACGAGGAGAGGATGCCATAGGGGACGGGAGGAGAGGATGCCAGGGGGGGGGCCAGGCGGCGGCACAAGCCACAGCAGCCCGGAGGCCCGAGGCTTCTGGTGCTCCTGCCGGTGCTTGTCCCCCCAGATGCAGGAGGGGGATCTGGCCGCCAATCTCCCAAGCTGAGGCCGCCAATCTCCCAGGCAAGGTCATAAACTCGTTGAACGCATCAGTGTAGCGCGCGTGCAGCCCAGAACATCTAAGGGCATCACAGACCTGTTATTGCCTCAAACTTCCTTGCGTTTGACACGCAAAGTCTCTCTAAGAAGTTGCCCACGTGACCGAAGTTACGTGTAACTATTTAGCAGGTTAAGGTCTCGTTCGTTAACGGAATTAAGTTTAGACCGCCAGCCTCCCATGTTTGGACCGCCACTCCTAGAGCACGCGGTGCAGCTCGCATGCCCCCCAGGCAGGCAGGGAGCTGGGCCCCCACCCCCCCCACCACCCTCTTCCTCTGCTGCACTTGCTGGGTCTTGCTGGCGCAGCAGCTCAACGCGCTCCTCCCCGCCCCCGCCCCGTGCCGCTCGGGACAAGGAGCGGGGCGGGACGTATACGGGGGTGGGTTGACTTGATTTTTTGGGGCTGGACTCGCCCGTCCACAGGTGGAGCCCCGCGGCGCACCTGGCGGCTCACCGTCCCGCTTCGTGGGGCTGCCGGGGGTGTGTCCAGGGCTGGACCTACACGGTGTTTTGCTGGACTTCGGCCGTGCTTTGTGTTCCGTTTTGGCAGGGAGGTGCAGGAAGCCAGGTGGAGCAACACGAACCACAAGACGAAGGCAGAACGAAAAACAACTTGTAGGTCCAGCCCTGCGGGGGTGCTGCCCAGGCTCTCTCTCCCCTCGGAGGGGTGGCGTCCCCCAGGCACATCCCATGCCCCAGGACCTCGCGAACGCAGGCCGGGCCGGCCTGCGCGTCGTGAGCCCTCGAGGGGGGCGAGGGCCTCCAGCGGTGGCTGGGCCCGTCCGCATCCTGAAGCCCTGAAGGGGGGAAGCGGCACTCCTCGTGATCGTTGTTTATTCATGGCTTTGCCGATCGGCGCGGGCCCTCGCACCCCCCCCCTCCCCCCCCCCCTGGAGTAGATGTCGGGTGTTTTGGGCGCCTGTTTTCAGGCAGGTGGAGCCTCCCCTCATGGGACGCACTGCTCCAAACAGCCGCACAAAGCAGAGGTCCAGAGCCAGACCCCCCCCCCTTCCACCCAGTGTCGAAACGCCGAGTAAAAAAAACGCTCACCTTCTGGAAGCAGGAAGCTCAAGCGAGGCCTCCTGCCGGGGTAACGTAAGACTCGAGTAAGCCGGAACTCGGGTTTGCCGAAGTTTTTGGCAAGCGCGTCCTGGGTTTGACGGTCCAGTTCTCGTGGGACGTTTGCAGCGGGAGCTCGCGTCGAATTTCAGGTTGGGTCTCGTCATTCTCATGACGGCCCCGCCAGGCCAACCCGAGCCCCCCGTGCCCGAGCCTTACGCCTCTCCGATCCTGCCGGGCACTCGATCTGGGGCCAGTGCACCAGCGTTCCGCCCTGCCTCTCGGCGGCAGCCTGCTGTCGGGAGGGGAAAAAACACACAGACACAATGAATTGTCGATCCCCTGGAAAATATGGGAAAATGTGGGAAGTGGGGTGTAAGACAAAATCCCAGGAAATATAGGAAAATATGGTGAATATTTTCATTTGTGTGTATTTATTTGAGTGTGTCCTGGGGCCCCTTTAATGCTGGTTGAGGCGCGCGTTGAGGGCCTCCTCCCTGCCTTTCGTGGCGTGCTGCGCCAGCCGTGGGTTGCCGAGCTCGCGAGTGACGTGCTTGGGTTGGCGGAGAAGGGGGCGGAAGAGGAACGCCACAAAAAAAGCGGAGGAGGCCCGCCTGCTGGGCTGCCCCGCGCTCGGCTGCTCAGACAGATCAGCCACGCGCAGAGGGGGCTGGGGGGAGGGGGAGGGCTTCTCCTCAGAAGCACCCCTGCTCCCTCGAAGGCGCGGGCCTCCTCTGCAGCTGTAAGAGGCCGGCGCCTTCTCAGAAGCAGCCTCCTTCCAAGAAGCCCTCCCCCCTCCTTCCACCCCCGTGTGCGCGCCGCCAAACACGTCCCTCGAGGCCGTGCCCGCTGACCGCACTGCCCGAAGGCTGCCCCTGGCAGCGCCCCGTGCCGGCCGCGCGCCCGCGCGCCCTGCGCGGCTGGCGCGCCGCCGCCGCCGCGGGCGCACCGCTCCGGCCCGGGCCGCTCCGTGCGGGAGCGCCCCGGCGGCTTCCCTGGCCTCTTGCACCGGTTCGGTGGCGTTTCACCGATGCCCATCCCCATCCCCATCCCATTCGAGACCCCCACCAAATTACCCCCCCAGCTGGGGATGTACACGCCCCTCGGAGCCCGAAGGGAAGGACCCACATCCCCATCTAGGGGGGCAAGGCGGCCAGGGGGGCGCAGGCCACGCCGCTGGGGATGGGGATCGGTCAAGCGATACTCAACGGTGTCCCCCGCTCGGGGGAAGGAGGTCGAAGGAGAGAAAACGCCACACGGTGGGGGCGTTGGCTAAGGAATGTGCCCTATGGAGGCTTCAGGCCTTTGGGGATTCCTTACCTGATGAGGACGGCGGTAAGATCCATGGCTGAGCATCAGTGGGTGTTCCACTGGCTTGCAGACCCTGGCTTCCTTGTCCAACGGCTCCTTATTGAATGCCCTCACCGTAAACATAAACTGTTGGCGCTCCGCGCGGGTTTCTTTGAGCCGCGCTCGGCCCCCCCAGTGGCGCCCGCGCGCTGGGGAGGGGGGGTCCGGCGCAGATCCAAGAAATCCGCGCGGGGCGCCAAAAGTTTATGTTCATGGCGTGTCTTCTTCTTCCAGGAGGGTCGTCACCGCCGCCTGAGCGAGGCAGAAAAAGAAGGTCGACCGCGCGCACGCTGGCGCGCCCTGGCGCGCCTGCGGTCCGCGTCAGTTCGCTCGCAAGGGCCCCCTTCTCCGCGCGACGCACCGCGCAATCCACCGCGCCCTTTCGCGTAAGAGTACGTCGCCCACCTGGAGGGGGACGCAGGGAGAGATCAGTGGCGGTTGTGGCGATGCCGCGCAATTGGTTGCGCACGATTTCTTCAATTCGACTGGGTGGGTTCAAAAAGGCTTGAAGTCCGACTCCCACGCTGAGACCAGCCCTTCAGCCTGATGTCTTGTTCGACCGCGTTCCTTGTGCTCAAACAAGTCATGTCCCCGCTTCCTCTCCTCTGCCAGAAGATATCCGCATCCACAGCCCCCATCGTCGTGCCCCAGTGGTGGATATGGATATCTCTGCAGGGGATCCAGGGTAGGATTCCAGCAGCTGTGGATGTGGATGTTCCCTGGCTGTGCATCGCTGTCCACCCCTGTCCCCGTCCGCCCAGTGAGATGTGCAACCAGCTCCTCTGGGCCCTCGGCAACATGGCGGCGGACGAAGATGTCTCCATCCGAGACCGCCTGCTCGGCGGGGAGCAGGGGCGCACGCGCAATTCATCCACCCGAGAGATCCGCGATATGAGCGCCATCCCGTCGACCCCCAGAAGAGGCAACACCCCGCTTCCCGAGTGCACACGGTGGTGACCGTGTGCATCCCCACGGCCAAACGGGCCGTAACATGTGGCATCGACAGCTTGGGGTTCCACGGGAACCTGCTGGAAGGCTCCTCGGGCTTGGTCGTGTGGGGCGTCTTTCACTTGGGGGGGGGGGGGGGGCGGCGGGCCTCCTGGTCATGGTCTCTCACGGCATCTGGGTGGCCTGGAACCGTCTTGGTGGTGGGCTGGGGCGCAGCGCCGTCTTGGGGCCATTGAGGGGGTCCTGCAGGGGCATCCTGGGATCTCCCGCGGCTTCTGGGGATGAAAAATTGTGGCAGACAGGAACAGTGCAAAACATCACGCGCCTCTTGGAGAGCTCTTGAGGCCCCTTGGGCGCTTTTTGGCCATTGTTATCAGGATAACTCGATCTTGCCGCGGCGGTCTCCAAGTAATTGTCGGCGGATTTCTGCGTGACACAGAGAATACATGGACGAACTCGCAGGTCCCCCCACCAGTCCCCTCCTGCCCCCCGTCCAAAAACATTGTGCCTCCTTGGGGAAGCGGGAACAGGGGAGGAGTGACAACCAAATACCTCTCACGCTGGACGCCCCTTCGACAAGTGGGGATCGGCGGATTTCAGGTTCTACCAAGGAAAGCCAGGTACTGATGGGTCACATCTGTCGTTCTGCCCTATTGATCTACTCCTGGTCTTTGGAGCGCACCTGGGGGAACCAAGGGCTATGATGCACAAGCGCATGTGTTATTACCCCAGACAGCAGACGAACAGAATCGTTGCCTCGTGGCAGCTCGGGAAGGACTGTGACTTGACGAGGTCTTCACGGTGGTGGAGCCATCGCCCCGATTCGCTCGCTGCTGGCCTTCTCACCCTGCTCCGCCTCTTCCTCCCTCCCCCGACACAAACCCAAGCTCGCTCAGGGCGCGTTCGGTCCAAGGACGGCCAAGGATGCTGGCCGCTTCGCCGCCATGCCAGGAGGCGCCGCGAGGCCGGCCGAGTCCGCCAAGATGCTGGACCACTGGCACAGCAATGAAAAGCTTCGGTTCCACGACAACCGGAGCCTATGCCTCGGGTATAGCGAGCGCGCCATGGCTCTCCTCGACGACTTTGCCACGCTCGAGATAACGATTCTGCGGGCGAGGGGGTTGCAGGCACTTAGCATGTCGAACTCGCTCGTCCCTCCCAGCATGCCGTATGTTTCCGTGCTCCTGGACGACGCGGAGGTCTTCCAGACGCAGCCCACCTCGAGGCCCGCAAGCCGGAGCCCCAGGTGGTCGCACGAGGGGTCAGTGCCCTTCTTGTCGCCGCTGTCGATGGTGAGGCTCCAGGTCATCGAAGAAGGAAAAAAACATAAACATCAACTTTTGGCGCTCCGCGCGGATTTCTTGAATCCGCGCCTGGGCCCCCCCGGCTGCGCCTCCGGCGCCGCCCCTGGCGCGCATCGCGCGCCAGGGAGGGGGGTCCAGCGCAGATCCAAGAAAACCGCGCAGAGCGCCAAAAGTTAATGTTTAGGGCGTTCCTTTCTTCTTGTAAGGTCAAGGACCGCGACAGCATCAGTCACGAGGAGAACATCGGCTTTGTCGAGTTCTGCCTTGCCGATCTTCCGTGGGACACCAGCGTGGAGTGCTGGCTGGAGCTGAGGCTCCAGGACAAGTTCGAGAACACGAGCTGGCTGAGGTACGCCGACCATAAGAGCATTGCCGACGGCCAGGCGGGCAGCACGGGCGCCAGGAGGCGTCAGGGCGGCCTGCTCGCGTGCGCGGTCTTCAAGAGGGAGCCCGTGAAGGACGACACGAACACCGCTGGGGAGATCTTCGTGCGGCTGACGCTGAGGCTGCGCCGGGGCTGCTCGCGGTTGGACAGGTTGCTGGCCCTGGCACTGGATTGCCCCTACCCGGAAGACCACGGGAGGAGCCTGCACCGCTCCCACACCCTGCCTGGCTACAAGATCCGTTGGCGCTGCGCCACTTCCTCATGGGCCCTTGGGGCTGGTTTGGGTTCGCCCGTGTTGGGCTTCCTGGGGCTCGTGGAGGGTCGCTCGATCTGGGGCTCCCTTGGGGCTAGATTCTCGATCGGGCCTGTTCGGCGTAGCGCGCACGAGCGCTCTAGAGCGGGGGAGCCGATGTAAGGGGGGCATGGGATGTCGCCCTGGCGTCTCTCAGACGTCGGTCGGCCACTGGTGGCGCTGATTGGGGACAGTTGGGACGGAAGGAGCAGGAGGAGAGAAATGTCGAGAAGCGGAGGAGAAAGGGGGAGGAGGAGAAGCAGGAGGTGAGGTGGATGATTTGGAGGGGGAGGAGGGAGAGAGAAAGTGAGAGTAGGAGACAGAGAGATAGAGAGGGGGGAAAAGCGAGAGAGAGAGAGAGAGAAGAACAAGCAACAAACAAGAAGGAGGAGGAGGAGGAGGAGGAGGAGGAAGGGCGGGGGAGATTTCGCAACGTCTCGGGGGCGTCTTGGAGCCTCTTCGGGCATTCTTGGGCTGCCTGGGAGACATCTTGGGACCTTCTCTGGGCCGTGTTGGAGCTCTCTTGGGGCAATTCTTGGGCCGTCTTGGCGCCCCCAGGGAGCCGTCCAGGGCCGTCTCGGCGGCCACCTGTTTGGGTCATCTTCGGGCTCTTTGGATGCGCTCGTGGGTGGTGTTGGGAACCTAGTGGGCCGCGTTGGGGCGTTGCTGGGCCGCTCCTGGAGCATCTCGAGGCTCTCGGGAGCACTCCTGAGACCATCTCGGGCGCGAGGATATCCCAGCGCAGGCATAGAAGCATTGTACTACAGTGTTCAGTGATTTGGGCCGTCGAGGGCTTATCTTGGAGCCTCTCTAAACCTCTCTTCGGGCCCGTCGTGCGCCTCTCTTGGACGCCTCTTGGTGGCTCTCGTGGGGCATCTTGGACGCCTGCGCCGTTTTGGAACCCTCTCGTGAGCTTTATGGACCTTGGCATCGCTCGGACGTGTGCATTCTTCCGAGGGCCATCGAGAAATGTCTTGGACCATCTGGCGGAAACTAAACATGCACGAAACCGAATACTGCACGGGGAATGGGCGTCCGAGCGATGGCGAGGGACGATTTGAGACGCCCGAGCCGTTTTAGCACCCCGTCCTTTCGGCATTGCCCCTGCCCCCCCCCTCTAGCACCGCCCTCGCTCCATTCAAAGCGGCAGAACCTGCCCCGACAGGGATCGGGCGGGTGGCAAAGGGGGGTGACCCAAAGGGGGGTGAAGAAGAGTGCCCAAAAGGACCCCCTGCAGGGCCCCTTTCGGGCACCGGCTGGCTCGAAAAGTTCACCCCCCCTTTGACCCCCCATTTGGGCCACCCCCCACTACCACCCACCCAAAGGGAGGGGCTTGGGCAGGGACAAGGGTCGCGCTCGCCAGTCACCTCAAGGGGGTCGGCGAATTCAAGACATCGGCGACCACCTGACCGATCTCAAATTCAACGTGGTTGAGAACGCGGTGTTCTCTGTCTTTTACGCCATCCAGTACGTCCTGCAATGGCGGTCATGCCCGCTGTCCACACTGCTTCTGGCCGTCATCGTTGCCATGTGGTACAATTTGTCTTATGCTTGGGTGCTCATCCCTGGCATTCAGGGGCAACGGTAGGGGGGGAGACAGGCTGCGATCAAAAAGTTTGAGATGTCCGTGTGCACTTTTTTATAAAATGCAATCACATCGGACGCTGCACGCGCGCCAAGCCGACGTGCCAAAACGCTGAGCAACATTCTGCGACACTTGGCGCGCCTGGGCTGCGGCCCCTCCGTGCTCGAACCACCTTGAGACATGCCAACCCCTAACTTAGCAGTAGAATGAGTGAGTGTCGGATGAGTCTCAAAGATTTTTACATCATGCACATATACACACCAGGTGAGTCCCGATGGCGGTCTCGAGCGATCTGAAAGGGTTCAGAGTGACCCGAAGTTCTCGGTTCTGAGCGCATCCGCCAGTCTCGCGCGGTCTCCAGGTGCCACGACACCTTGGGCGCCTAGCGCATCCGCGCGCCCCGCAGGATTTCCCAATCTATCATACTGTACTGCCACGAATCCTTCGGCGCCAAGCACATCCGCGCGTCTCACATAGCCTTGCAGCTCCACGAAACCCTCGGCGCCGAGCGCACCCGCGAGTTTCGCGAGGGGCTCGAAGCGACGCGGAGTCCTCAGCGCCGCCACCGCCGTCGTCGTCGTTGTCCTCGTCGTCTTCGTCGTCGTCGTCGTCGGCAGACGCACGCAATCGTCGCCGTGGCCTTCGGCCAAGCGCGGCACGGCACGTCACCGCACGGTCTCCGCGTTGAAGACCAAGTCCGGCGCGGCACGGCACGGCCCCGCACACTTGCCGCTCTCTGAAGACCAAGCTCGGCACGGCGCGGCACTGCGCGCCTGCAGCGCATGCGTCGCGCTGTGGCCAAGAGCCACGCTGCTCAGCATCAGTGATACCGCTGACGCATTCGCTGGCCACAGGAACGTGCACGCATGCCATGGCGACGAGAGCTCACACCCAGTAAGCGTGCGATCACGTGTAAGAGTTGGGACGGCGCAGGCAGGCAGCATCACGGGAACACCGGTGAGGATGCCGCAGACCATGCGGGCCCGGCACGGGCTCGGAAACCATTTCCAGACATTTTGTTCGCGGACTGCAGGCTCAAGTCGGGCGTGTCCCTCTACAGGAGGAATATTCAAGGACAGTCAAAGAATAGGATGTTCCGTTATTTCTTGATCATTTTTGAATACGTTTTGATTATTTCAGATTTTTCGTCCAGCATCTCCCTGTAGGGGGACATGCCCGACCTAACTGTAGGTTCGTGGGGGGGGGAGAGGCCCAGGACGGCATGGCTCACCCCGCCCAGGAGCGTGCGGCTTTGCCATCGGGGGTTTGCCTTATCTCGCCGACACCTCGGCAGTGTATCGGCGAGTCCAGGTCGATGCTCCCCCCTCTGGACCGTTGTCCCCTCCCGAACGCTACCCTCCAGGCACGCTTGCGGTGATGATCGCCCTCTTCGCGTGCGAGCCGCTGCGGCTCGACATGACTACCGGCGGTTTCAACGCGCCGTTGTCGCAGCGGGGCTTCGAGCGCGTTGCGCTGTGGCGGCATACGCCGTCCATGGCGCGTTTCCTGCGGCGGCTGGTGGAGGAGGACTTGCAGGGCAAGGTTCGAAGAACAAGCAACGGAATATAAACGTACAGTCTGGAGGTCCGCGCTTTTGAGATCGGCGCTGGGCCCCCCCTGGCGGTGCCTCCGGCGCTGCCCCTGGCGCGCTCCGCGCGCCAGGCAGGGAGTTTCCAGCGCCGATACAAGAAATCCGCTCGGACTTCCGAAAGGTTCTGGTCGAGAATTTTGGGATAGCGTGTCCTGCCGCAGTTTCTGGCCCGCCACGCTTCGGCGCGACACGCTGTCCAGCTCCCCGCCCCCGAGCCTCAACGTCCCAGCCTCCCGCCCCGCCGAGCGGAGCGACGCGCTTTCCACCCGCAAGGCATAGCGCTTCGTCGGGGCCGCCGCCGCGACACGTTATCCCGAAGCTCCTGACCGTAGGCTTGCGCGCTTCTGACCCCTCGGGAAGGTAACGGACGAGAAGAAGTTCTGCGCGTGCGCCGCGCACTGCTTCTCTGGGGGTCGGCCCCGGGTCTCCTTCGCCGAGCTGCGGGGCTTCCTGACGTCGGCGGACTTCACGTCGCACTGCCAGGAGGAGCTGGGCGCCGAAGCCCGGGTGCTCGCCTGCGGGCGGCATGCTGTCGTCAAGAAGGTCTCGAAGAAGAAGCAACGGCATAAGCATTAGCTTTCGGAGCTCCGCGCGGGTTTCTTACATCTGCGCTGGGACCCCCTGGCGGCGCCGCTGGCGCCGCCCCTGGCGCGCCAGGAAGGGGGTCCCAGCGCCAATCCAAGACATCCGCGCGGGGCTCCGAAAGTGTATACCTCAGAGGTCGAGGCTGGCCGATATGTCGTGGAGTATGAGGACGACAGGGGGCGCAACTGCGCCGTAGCCCGCCATAACGTAGTCAAGAGGCAAAGGCTGCCCGACATCCCAGAGTGGGCGCTGGGCACAAGCCTGGGCGTTCAGGTTCGAACACTTCAGTCCGTAACCGGGCAGCTCAATCAGGCCTTGGGCAGAGTCGTCAGGGCCTTCTCAAGCGTATTCGCCTGGAGGAGGCCTGCGCTGTCCGTGTTGACTCTGCTGATTCTGCTCGCCGCGTCCGTGGGTAACGCCTTCTTCTTCTGGAACGAGGACGGCACTGGCTGCGGGCAGAAACCCCCATGCTTCCCGCTCATGCGGCAGGCGGCAGACCTTGCGCGCCAGGGGCGAGAGTGGCTCGAGTTGGCGATATGTGTCTTCGTCATGATATTCCAGGCGAGGGTGGGAGGAGGAGGAGGAGGAGGAGGAGGAGGAGGAGGAGGAGGAGGAGGAGAAGAAGGAGACAGGAGAAGGAGGAGGAGGAGGAGGAGAACCACGAACCGCCAAGAGATTGAGGCGTGTCAGTGGCAGTGCGCCGACCGAACGGCCACGCGAACCAGTGCTCTCTTCATCCCTCACATACTACATCCTTTCCCACATGTCACAAGCATAATCTTTTTTTCTCGCTGTTTACATTCCTGAGCGCAGGTTATGCAGGGACTTCAGGTGAAGAGACTGTCTCCGACCTCACTAATCCAGGACGTCGTCTACGCCAGCACAGAACCATTTGCAGGGCCATTTTGGCCAAACACTACATCGGCTTCGACGACTACGTTTTACGTTTACACCAGCCAGCACACGACGACCACGTCGACCTACCACCCTGCTTGGCACCGCGGGGAACGTGAAAAGAGAACCGCACCACGCACGCTCTTACGAGTGGCATCAGCGTGTGAGCGACTCGACCTGCACATCCACCGAGCTCGACTCAGCACGACAGCTACTACAGGCGTACCACAGCACCCAACAACCACCACGACATCCACCACAAGCTCCAGCCATGGCGACATCGTGTAGTACAGCTGCGAGCGGATCGGGAACATCATTGCCACTGTGGAGGTCAACATCGAACCGTCCACGAAGCAAGCCAACTACGCCGAGATCCACCACGCCGGCTATTGGAGCAGGCCTCGCACGCTGGAAAAACGACAATTGGACGGACCAGTGGGCCAAGGAGCACCCCGGCAAGAACGTGGGCCATAACATACAGCTACAACAGCAGCGGCCACAACGGCAAGGGCACCAACCACAATGGCAAGGGTAGAACCGTGAAGGACGACATCGAGCCCGCCAACTCGACCCCAAAAGTCAAAGGCAAGCCGAAACAGGGCAAGGTAAAGGCAACGGAGCAACCTGACAGTGAGAAGCAGAACAAGAAGAAGGGCGACACCCATAACTACAACGACCACATCGCCAACACCATCAACAACGTCACACCCATGATGTGGATCTACGCCACCAGGAGGCACGACTGGGAGCTGCCACCCAACGACCACAAGCTAAAAGAAGACTGGAAGAACAAACAATAACAAACAAACTCCAGCACATCGAGACGAGGCAGCCTGCGACCGCCATCGCCAAGCATTGTGCAGCAGGACTATCTACTACAGGCGCACTGGCACACATCGCCTTCACCAGAGCCATGATTCTCAACAGTATGTCCCTGGCACAGCACATTAGGGATATCGAGACAACGAAGCAAGCCATGGAGGACTACTACGAGCACACCAAGACCCACATACAACATATACAGGCCTGCATGAGCGGGCCATAGAACAATATCGACGAGCTTTGCAGTCTCCATCGGGACACCAGCAACGCCGAGGACGATCGCTACGACGACAAAGAAGCAGCCGACGACGAGGCCGACTGTCCCCAACGTGAGGCCCCCCCAAAAGGATCCCAACACCAGCGCCAAGAAGGCAAACGCGGGCCGGGGAAACAACAGAGGGTCAAAACGTCGACATATTACTCAGGCGCTTCAAGGAGGATAGCCAGCGCATGGCCTACGACGTCCCCAAAAAACAGGACCGCAGCCAACGACGAGAACCAGGATCTGAAGAACCACCTCCAGAAGGCAGAAGAATAAATTCAACAACATCAACGTGACCGGCACGCAGAAGCAACCAGGGCACAAAAGTACCAGAAAGAGCTTCTGACCAGGATCAAGCACGCCAAGCAGACAACCGAGAGCATGGCATCACACCACGAGTACATGCAAATGCGGAAGGATGCGGCGCTCGAGAGGACTGGAGAGAGGCTGGAGGAGGCGAACAGGAAAGCCAGCGCCGACGTCCACACCCAGCGTACACCTTCTACGGAGCTCCAGGAGAGACAGAAGAAGCTCGCCGACAGCAACAGCGCCCGCGACAGCATGGAGAAACAGCTGAGAGGCGGCCAAGGTTGCGGAGGAAAAACAAAAGTATTACAACATAACCATGGAGGTCGAGCAGCAGATACCCACATCGAAGCAAAAGCGGCAGGGACCCAGATCAAGGACCGCAGCGACCACATCTTGCTGCACAATAAGTTGGGCGACCCGGAGATCAGGAGTTTACATGCGCATGAATTACTGCAACACAAGGAGATGCACATGGAAGCTACCATTCATCACGCGCACAGAGAGTACCGGCAACGAGTGACCAGCATGGGGCGCCTTGTCCGGATCAGGGACGCTGAGCAGACACAACAGCAGGATCAATATCTGCGTAGAGTACGTACTGCCATGAACACAAACGAGAAACAGGCACAGTACAACTTGCGACAGGCTGAAGGACGGGTGCAACTCGTGGAACAGAGGGCGGACATGGGAACGGCAGAACAGCACAATGCACTATACGACGAGAGACAGGCATCTACCACCAAGAGGAGATCCAGTGGAGGAGCATGAGGAACGCCCACGAGATGCGCGCCGAGGAGGCAATCGACGAGCACCGTCAAGCCCGACAGGATTGCAAAGAGACGCAAGAACGCTTGAGCAACGCGCAGATGGCAGGCGCTCTCCCGCATGCCCTCGGCGCGGCCAGCGCCACCGACGACGCCGACATGTCCCAGTTCCTACCACCGGAGCAGCCTGTGCCTCGACGGCCACTCGAGGATGGAGGCACCCAGCCGACGCAATCGCAGTCCGACGACGTGAAGCGGGAGAGCGGCATGCACGCGGTCATCGCGGCTTCCTCATCGCAGCCAGTCTTGCGCGACGAGCGAGCCGCATGCATCATGTCTATCTTGACGAGGTCAACGTGGGCGCCAAGAACACGATGGCTAACGCACGCCCCGATTGACGGTTCGGAATGACTTGCGGCCCCAGCTGGCGCGGGCAGCAGCAAGCCCCCAGCTCAACCTGACCCACCTACGGCGGAGATCATATCGATCGACGTTCCGTCACCATTATAGGAGGAGGAACGACGGCATCGCGCCAACCGACCAGATGACGCCACACGCAATCAGCCCGCAGCAGTGCTCCATTAATACACCTGGCAGGGGCTCATCTACGCCACCAACTCGCAAGCACCCAGCACCGCCTCCGAGGAGCTCAAGCGCGCGAAAAACGACAAGGGCGATTATCGACCCAAGCGAGCCACATGTCATTCTTCCACGCACACCTGGCGACATCACTCCAACCGACCTAGCCACCAGTGACGACGCAGCCGACGCAGGCGGTGACCCGACGGACTCGATCTGACGGCGTCGACGCGGCGATGGACAGTGACCAGTCCACGCGCGCATGGTGAGCCTGGAGCACCAATGCACATCTGCGACCCAGACGAGTTTGACCCACTGCAGCGGGACAGACGACACACACCGCCACCGGAAATAAAGATTACAGACGGGCACATTACGCAGCCCCGACAAAACAAGAGGACGCGCGTCGGAAGCGTCCCGACGGACCATCAGAACGAGCAGCTCCAACATCCGGGGCAGCGGCGCAGAGGGCGACGGAGCCGCAGCACCACCACGCCAGCGCGCGCAACGGATTGCACGCGGCGTCGGCCGAGCATCCGAGGAACGGAGGGCAGCGTGGGCGATCGATTCCCTGCACGACGAACGCCCAACCCACCCCGGCCAGACACGGCAGAAGGCCCCCACAACGGCAGGGACAACATATCGCAAGCTTGCGTTGAGGGACGCGCCAGGTTCGGCACGGACAACCACGCCCACCTGGCACCATGGACGACCGATGCCCAACCCTGCTCCGCGCAAGACGCAACGACGCGGGGGGGCCACAGAGAAACGCCAAGCGAGCGAAAGGGGTTTCGCTACGCATTCACAATTGCCGAGCCGATCGCCAACGCTTTCTGGCGCGCCTCCCCGCCCAACCTTGCAACCGCCTTCCCAGACTTGCACGAGCCAGAGAGGTTCCGCGCAGAAGCCGCAATGGCAATGGAATTAGCCCCTCTAAGGACGCGTGAAACCATCGCGCGAATCCACCCGCGCACCGACCGCGCGCGCAAGACCGACTCAACCAAGGACGCGCGGGCAGCCGTCGCCACCAAAGAGAACGCGGACGGCGTCGCCTGCACCGGCGCGATGTCAGCCAGAGCGTCCGACTCCGCATCCACCGACGTTGAGATGTCGACATCGACCACATCAGAGGTGACAGCGCGTATATAATATTGGCATACGCGTGGATACGTAGCCGGAGATCCTACAACAACGCACCGACAACAGCGCACGCGGCCATTAAGGTGGCCAGTTGACTGCCAAGGGCAACTGTACCTCATAGCAACCACGACACGGCCACACTGACCTACCCGCTCCACCAGCCAGCTCCGAGCGCGACACACGCAAATACGGACCATGTCTACACTCGCAAAGGACACCCATGGAAAGTGCTCGCCAATTTAGTGGCCACAAGACAGAGCGAACGTGTAGACGCCTGTCCACAACCACAACGGGAGGAAGTATCCGACCCCAAGTACCATCGCAGTTCGGCACGGCCACTGCGAGCGGACAACGCAATTCGGGCGGCGGTCTCAACCCGGAGCGACACTTGCATCACAGCTACACCGCCGACGGCCACGGCGGCGACCGAGCATTTCGAACCGAGACAAGAGCAGACCAGCAAGGAGGTGACCACACACACACACCCTCCGCGATGACTTTCAACCCACGCAGCTTCAAGAAGCCAACTCGCACCGGTAGAGAGCAGGCGAGCAACATCTCCAGCATTGAGGTCACAGGCCACCAGCTGAAGCACATGGGCGCCCACCTCGCTGACACGCTGGAGACTTGGGCGTCCTGGAGGCACGACCGACATACACGGGTGCCAAGTAATATGGAGCGGACGCGAGAATTACCGCACGGGTTGCTCCTTGCTGATGATCAACATGGACTTGCCCTTCGCAGAAAGTAAAGGCGGCCAAAAAGTATCTCCGCGCCAACTATTTCAAGGC